GTCATTTTCTTTTACATAACTTGTGAAAGCTCATTTGCCTCACCTGGAACCATATTATTAGCTTCAACTCCTAATAGACTGTAAAATGTGAATTTACTCTCAAAGCTGTACAGCCTTCGCTCAGTAATGTGCGAATGTCATGATCATCATCTTCAACTTTATTGTGAGAATAATATTTCATACCCAACATTACTTATGATTGTTGACAGTATTCTTTAACTTATCAATTATGATTTACTCAGGTGGGTTACCATGGTGAGAAGGTAGTATAAATGTGAGAATATCACCACTTATTATTATTCAGCAAAATTTCAGTCCATCATATACAGGGTGATCTTGTCGGTTCAATAAGGCTTCAGGTCAGATACTTGTTAATTGATTGTTTTTTGTAAATATATGTAAATATCTGGGTGAATATAATTTCTATACATTCCCTCCTCTTGCTGAGTTGATTAACGTTGGTTTGACCTATGAAAATTTCATTATATATAATTTTTTTGTGTTGTAAAGAACTTTTCAAAATTAAATGGATCTTGTTTTCTTGACTTGGACAAGGCCGAATATCCCAAGTACTTCAAGTCAAGTGGCGCCTGGGTAAGTTTCCCTCTACTTTTTTTTTCTTCTTTGGACACTTATGGAATTGAACAAATTACATAATGAATTGTTAACCCCGACCTCCATATACTGTCTAGACAACAACGCTAACGGTGCAGTGACTTTTCAATTTTCAATAGAAAGTTCAAAACGTTACAACGTAATTTGCAGATAAGTTGTGAAACACTCAGTATATTGGACAACAATACTCTGTGTCTCATACTTGGGCAATAAATATTGGGAATCAGTTGATAAAATGATAAGAATCATCGATATCAGCAAAAAAGTTTTAATTGAAAATTTTCATCCTGTATTCATCTCAAAAGCGAATTTTGGACAAAGTCTCGAGTTAACAGTCTAATATAGATAATGAACTTCGAGAAGACCGTTCTTGAATATACTGAATCGAAGAGTCACCATTTTTGATTTTATTTTACTGAAATGAGATTTTGTCCTATTTTCTCATCATCCTGTATATTCCACAAAAGTGCTTTCTCCGTCTTTCATTGTCCTTCACAAAACATGAGAATAGTTTTATCCAATAGTCAGCTCAAGTGGAGTTCTGGAGAAAAAATTCGAGAAATGCAAGACTTTCGAAAAAAATCGAATTTTCGTTTCAATGGCCAATTGAGGAGAAATCACGAAAACTTCCCGAGATGAGGTCCCAGTGTATCATAATATGACTGACTTTTGATCAGAAAAAAAATTTCTCGAGTTCTGGCAGCATTGCAAATGTAGACCTTAGTGTAATGGTTCTACTTTACACCCTGTGTGAGTTTTGTTGGGCGAACTTCCTCAAAGTGTTCTAGCTCTCTTTGAAGCCGATGAAACATCACATCTGATATCGGAAACCGCATGAAGATCGGTCAATTTTTTCAAAAAATACAGGTCTTCGAAATAGAGTCAAATTATGAGTGGTCCATTTAGTGTGTTGAAAACTGTATTTAAAAAATTTAGCATCTCACCATTGCCGTGCCTCTACATAGAAGGGGCCCAGAAAGTCTAAATTTCGAAAATCGCCCTGTATCTCATGAACGGAAACAGTTTTATATGCAAAATCTGATCAGGCCATCCTGTCTTCGTTTCATCCACATAGAACCAAATGGTTGAACAAAAAGACCGTCTCTTGATTTGTGATCAAGGCCTTCTCTATATTATTTCACCTTGGAATATTGTTGCAAATCGATTGTGAATTGTGAACGATTTTCATAACTTTTAAATTCAAGTATGGGTGACATTGTATTTGCGGAAGGTCGAAATAACAGTCATAAATCATTCAAATTTATCATAAATATAATATATAAACAACAAGATATAAAAACAGAAGTATAGATATAGGTAATTATACAAATAAATAAATACTAAAATGAAATCCTCAACAAATCATAGTATACGTATAACAATTCTCATTCGAAGAAAATAAAAATTAAATAGGCATCCAATTCAATCAAGAATTACCTTCACATTATTCAATATTCATCTATATTTATGTGTAGTCACCCTCACGGAACATGTAGTTGATGGGTGACTCGAGCTTATTCACAACATGACTTGTGAAGTCTACCGTATATTTACACATCTACAGTGTGACGTACTGCAGACCAGAGCACTCTTATAAAATATACAGTTTCCAGTCGATCCAGTTTTCATTATGTTTCAGTTGAAAAAGTATTAGAAGTTCTACGTTTGTTCATATTAGCAAATCATAAACATTCCAATTTTCAGTTCAATCTGTTTTTTTGTCATGTTCAGAGCTGTGAAATATAATTATCGATTCATTTCAAGAGAATGAGACTTCTTCACTCGATTCAACATCGTTCAATAAGGTGTATCGCATGAATTCATTGAAATTTTCTGAATACCAAGAAAGTTAAGAATCATCGTATATAATTTTTTTTATGACAAATTCTGAGGAGCGACTACATTGTCAGCACAAACTTTGGAAATAGTTAAAGTTTCTTGTAGACATTCGAATTCATAACAAGAATTATTCTTGGGTGGAAACATCTACAATGATAATCAAAATGATAATTACTCATAATTCCATGAATATTTTTGCACTAATAACAACATACAATAGCAACAATTCCACATAATCGGATGAAGTTTCTCTCGATTTGGAAATAAATTCACACTATTGAATCGCTGATAAAAATATTTAGTGATCTGCTAAACAGGGTGACAAACTATAGCCTCTGCATATTATTGCTCACTTGTTTATTCTCTCAATTTGGAATTTCTATCAATCTCATATTTTTATTATACTCAAGCATATTTTTCGAGATGGTCTTACAATTTTCTGTATATTTCTGCGAACATTCAGAAAGGTATACACAGGGGTTTAACTCAAGTCGGCACTATTGCGAACTGGATTATTATTGAAGAGCTAAAACGTCGCTCAAATGGAGAAAACTAGTAGTATTTTTTCAGCTGATGAAATGGAGAGGAAAATCGAATTTTGCGTTCAAGAGTTATGCCAGAAGGTATTCGTTTTCAAATGGGACACCCAACATTCGAAAGCTACCGACAAGTTTTCAAATTTGTCAAAGTTTGATTATCGATGTATCACTCACGGTAACTTCACACTGAAAGATCAATTTGGTTATATTAAATATATATGATTTACTTTTACCAAATCCGTTATTTGAATATGGCTCATTGAACGTTGATTTGAAAAATACCAATTATCACCTTGTAATATATAATTCTTCACCTACACCGAGCGATTTTAATTATCACGAAATCTTTGTTTTCAGTGAACAAATATTGATTCTGCTGAAAAGGAATATTCTCAGATAAATTATGAACATACAAAAATGGATATATATTTATATAAAGCAATACATATTTTTGTATGTTCATAATTTCTCTGAGAATATTCCTTTTCAACACTTTCATACCCAATCAGGGGGTTCAAACTTGAACGATGGAAACTTGTGATTTTTATAGACCTCTAATCGCAGATTCGTGATGGAGTCTCAATTCAGAATTTCCTTCCACGCCCTGTATGATGAATGTCAATTTATCATACACCCAAAAGCAAATATTCATCCATAAGTACAGCATGAAAAAAAAATCCTTCATTGATTAATTCAAATAATATCATTCAAAATCTCCTTTTCATGAAATTTCATATTGTTTCATTAAATTTCCTGATGTATTACTACCAGCCGTAGACCTACCCGAGGAGTTCTCATATAACCATAAATCTATAACAAAGTAAGTAACAGTTAACGAACATTATTTATATAAGGATACAACCAAACTATGTCCAATCAGGACTGGCTGCGTATTAACCTATTACTTAGAAACGCATCAGCTCTCAGTCATGATAGCATACCTACTTTTCCATTTATATGCGATTCTGCAAATGCATGCAAAACAAACATAAGAAAATAGTCATGCATAAACTATAGGTATCCGCACCTACTTATTGATTCAAAATGTTTCCACATTATTTGATTAGCACCACGTGCACCACTTCTGGAAAACATACTATATGTAATTGTTTTAGATGTATGACAAACTGACATTTATCATACAGGGCGTGGAAAGAAATTCTGAATTGAGAAAAACCCAATCACGAATCTGCGATTGAAGGTCTATAAAAATAACAAGTTTCCATCGTTCAAGTTTGAACCCCTTGATTGGGTATGAAAGTATTGAAAAGGAATATTCTCAGATATATTATAAACATGAAAAAATGGATACATTTGAATAAATACATTGAGAATTCGCATTCTCTATGTGATGAAATTATTAATTCTTTCTCGGCATATTCAACAGAAAACAACTACTTTCCTGGCTATATGCCACGACGAACATTGAATTATATCAATTGAACATACACGAAATGAATTTTATTCGAATCAAAATCATCTAACCTATGTGAAAGAGATGTGCATATATCCCAAACATCATGGATACGGATGATTTTTGATAAATTCACGACTCAACAAGAACAGAGTATGTATACTAGTATATTTCTCCCATACATTCCAATTTTCATACCAATTTGGTAAGTAATATATTTTTTATATCGTTATATTCATCATAGTATTCATCCGATTCTGGAAGAGAATGTCAATTCTCAATTTCAGACGATATTCATTTTATGCTCAAATTCCTATCGTGTATGTTCAATTGATATAATTCAATGTTCGTCGTGGCATATAGCCAGGAAAGTAGTTGTTTTCTGTTGAATATGCCGAGAAAGAATTAATAATTTCATCACATAGAGAATGCGAATTCTCAATGTATTTATTCAAATGTATCCATTTTTTCATGTTTATAATATATCTGAGAATATTCCTTTTCAATACTATATGTAGTATACTAGATGCACTGATAGTCGTCTGTCATTTTCTTCTAACGTGAATGGACATGTCCAAATGTAAACACACTCGCATGATGTCATATATAACGGGTCGAACTAATATAACTATCACACTTCACGGCTTTCACGGTGATAGAAATCACAAGGAAATCACCAAAGATTCCATGAAGATGCTCACGCTATATAAGATGAAAGCTGAACCGAAATGATGACCCCCGCGCATGACAGTTTTTTGATTATTACCAAATGAATAAAAAGAAAAAATGAAATATCGCTTGTTACCATTCATATTATATGAATTTATATCGAACGAATGTATCATAATAATAAAACAGATATATTCATCAACACAAACTGTATGATAGCTGATCATTACCAGATCAAATTATAATAATAAGTTATTCTCATTGATTATCACTGCGTAAATCGGCCTTATATGTAGATGAATTGTTGATTTTTGAATGATTTTGTTCAAAATGAACAAATATAGCAATGATAAACCATTCATTGTTGATAAATGAACCAAAAAATCAGGTATGATTTTGATAAATAAACCTCTGTAATTATTAATATGGTTGATTAAATATTAACTAATTTGACGTTAACAAACATTTGATAATTATAACTCCGATATTTTTTGCTGTACCTTACTATGAAGTTGAAAGAAATCATCGATAGCTTAGCTGTTTGAATTTGTGATAAAAGTTCATCAGACAGTTCTTGTTCAGAATCGAATTTCCTACCGATTGAGATAATTGTATAATGGATGTCCCATTTGAGAATATTGCACTTGTTGGCTTATTTTCTCGTGAACACGATGTTAGATTTTCGTTTCGTTTTCATCATCGTCATCTTCGCAAGATATTCTACTAGTTCTTGTTACTTTGATAATGAGTCCAGTTTGAATACCGTATTTTTTTAAAAGGTAAGATTTTGTACTTCTGACCAGAAATGTTTTTCATTGCTGCGCTATTCCTAGAGATATTCTCTTGAATGGGCTGTAGAAATCCTATTTGTCTCATCAACAGACTGTTTTGCAAGAATATTGGATAGACATTATCACAGAAAGACTGAGTACAGTACATTGATCAACTTGTATAGTGAGAGAGAGGGAAGATGAATTAGATTGAATGAAAATATCAGCATCAAATATGTGTAAATTTAGTGAAAATATTCATTGTTGAATTTTGCAAATTTGTTGAAACTGTAGATTTCATGAGGGCGCTATGGCCGCGAGTGTGTCACACTGTATATTTTTATCAATTTCTCAAACACAGTCGTGTCCACTCAATCGAAGTATGGATCGAAATGTTCGTAGTTTTGTTGGTGGAGGTGGTTGTCAGGTCCTGAAACAAAAAGAACTTACTTTAGATTCAAAATTTGGACATATTCGACATGCATTCATTTTTGGAGTCTGGATATGCAGAGGAATTTTCATCTACTCAAGACATATATCTACTACTCTATACAGGGTGATTCACATTAGAACTGACATAGAGCAGGAGCATATAGAGGGTCCCAAAATATGGCAATTTGACGCAACTCACTTCTATACCAAGTTGCTTCCCTAAGGAGTTATAGGCTTTGAAAGTGAAGTTATAAATTTTGAAAAAAATCGATATCTCCGTTATTCTTGAACTAAAAGCAACCAAATTTGGTACACTTTGTGGATGTATTCAGGGCGTTACTTGACAGTAACTAGAGTTCATTTGAAATTTGTAAAAAGGGTATACCGGGTGGCGCACCATTAATATTCAACAGAACTTTGTTTTCTACTCGATGGATTTTGGAAATCTGTGCTTTGTTTTGTGTTGAATTGAATTCTAAAACTCTTCTTACTTCAGTAACTTTTTTAAAAACCTCATAATTTTCTTAAAAATATTCGAATAACTGAAAACGCGCGCTCTAGGTGTGTTATTTAAAATCATAGAGAATTCAAAAGTTGGCTATGAAAATGAACATCAAACTTGACAATGAAGTAAGTAAGTTGTTTGATTAACTAATTATTGTTTGACTGTTTTCAAAATGAACGAGAAGTGTTCTTTTAACAAGCAAGTTGACATGCTGTTAGTGCTAGGATTTTGTGAAGGAAACTGTAGACGAAGTGTAGAAAAATATCGTAAGAGATTTCTTAACCGTATCATTCTCCATAGAGAAACATTTTCTGACGTTGAAACACGAGCAAGAGAAACGGGCAAGTTTTTTGGTAATACTCGAGAACGTCGTGCTGTCGCACTCAGGCCGCAAGTTGAAGTAGCCATTTTAAATGCTATTGAAGATTATCCGCATATTAGTACTAGGAATTTATCTCGATAAATTGGTACATCGCAGAGTTCTGTGCATCGAGTTATCCGTCGCAATCTACTACACCCTTATCATGTACAAAAAGTCCAAGAACTTTTACCCGGAGATTTGGTTCAACGTGTCAATTTTTGTCAGTTTGGTATAGAGGTATAAGTTGCCTTAAATTGCCATATTTTGGGACCCCCCACATGCCCCTGCTCTATGTCGGTTGTTATGTGAATCACCCTGTATATCTACTACTCTATATATGAAGCATATAGCTGTCCTCGAAGCGGGACCAACTTCTGTCTCTATAGGTAACGAAATCGGTCAATGGACGTTGATACTGACGTAGGAAAATTATGATACGAAACTTGTTGAACCAATATGAATACGAATTTCGAATGTTTGATAGCATATTATGTACTTAACAAGTGTTATAAACGTCCTTTTAGTAACGAGTATTTCAAGCACGAGCGGAGCAGAGCGGAACGAGTGTTTAATAAACGAGTGTCTAGAAGAGTTTAAAAACGCGTTACATACTATGCTTTTTCTACGAACTCCGAAAATTACATTAAAATACCTGCTATTTCTGCTAGCCTACAGAATAATTCTAAAGGAATAAGAATTGACAACATGATACATGCTGCATGCAACCGCAGCGAGACACAAAAAAATCCTAAAGTTGAAAAATCTCGATTTTGAACACCCAATATCTCTGTAATAATTCCTGCTAGACCCCAAGTGTGATACATTGATGAAATCAGCTCTTCGGGAAGAATCTAAAAACGCAATAAAAATACAGGGTGTTCCATTTGAAATAACAAAGATGATGCTACTTTTTGGTAAAAGTGGCAACGCTGCATCGCTGAAAATATTTTGAATCGTTGGATCACAAACGCTCATTAGAGTAACCAAATTTTCAGGATAATCCAATGTACGTTTTTCCGTATACGTTAAGGTACCATCGACCGTGGGCCACCCTGTATAAAGGAATACATTGAGAATTCGCATTCTTCAAATGATGAAAATATCGATAATTTCTCGGTTTATTCAACAGAAAACAACTACTTTCCTGTCTATATAGCACGACGAACATTGAATTATATCTATTGAACACACACGACTAGAATTTGAACACAAAATCTTCTGTAGTTGAGAATTTGCATTCTCTTTCAGATGAAAACATATATATGCACACACTTGTTGTTTTCTGTTGAATATCCAGAATGCGGATTCTCAACGTACTCCTCAATATACAGGGTGTCCCATAAGTCATGGATCAAAAGGAGTTAGGTGGTAGTGGTATGAATTCACCATGCCCCATAAATAATTTTCATGGCCTGTGTTCTACTTTATAACAAGTCGAAAAAAAAGCTGTTTTTCTCAAGTTTTGTTGATTTGAATATTTAATACAGGTTATTTTTTAATGCAACTGGCAGATTCAAATACTACCACACAAAGATAACCAACTATGAGAGAAAGTTGCCCATTCAATACAGATTCCGGAATGGTATAACATACGGGGTTATTGAAAACAGCCTTCTTGTATTCAATTGTTTCCGAATGAGCCGTGTTTCTCGTAAAAATTGAATAACTTTTGAACCATCAACATATAGATAACCACATATACGGTTAGTTTGATTGCAATTTACCTCCTCTACCACCCAATTTCTTTTGACCCATGACTAGTGGGATACCCTGTATATCCATTTTCTCTTCTCTATAATTTATCCTTATCTTTGATCAATTTGATAAAGCTCTTTATGGTAAATAAAAATGTTATTGCCGTCGCAGTTAGTTACCATATCAATAATCATGGTGAATTTCATTGTACATAATAATATATGTCACTATAGCTATTTCAATTCCCAGATTCTCATTAAATTGAATAATCATTGAGAATACTACTCCCTTGTCATTTTGAGAAATGGAAACAATCGATTCGAATCCGAAATTTATGGCGAATCTCTCGAAACACCCATTGATATTACTCAAAAACCTCGATAAGTTTCATTCTGAAATTTTGAGAATTTGTTATTCACCAACAGATTCGATTCTGTCAGGACACATGTTCATATATAAACATTTGTTTTTTGAGATCAGGTAAGTGATAATCACTTCTCCTGAATGTTATTTCATCACATGCGTCTTTCTACTCGTACTTATAGAACTCCCTGTAAGAGTAATTTGAAAAAATCTCCTGTACTGGCAAATTTTATCCATCTCTGTTAGTCGTTGTTAGTCATAGTTTCCTCATCCATTTTAGTCACTGTTAATAGAAGCCAATATAGTAAAAAACTTTACCTAATCAATCATGTCAGTCTTTTTGGTCCATTCGGTCCTAGCTCGAACGACATCGACTTGACTACCTCAAAACTGTTCGAGCTAGGTCTGTAAGTCCTAAAACTCGAAAGTCCTTTGCTTTCAATCGGTCTCTTATAGCTAGAAGATTTCATCCTGTGTTTGGTTGAGCTATGTGAAAGATCCAAGGTATTCAACCTAGGGGGACTATGAGCTATATTTGGCATATGTGAAAGAATAGGGGTCTGTAAGAATGGCGAAGGTTTGATTATTTGCGGCCACGAATCAGTGCTAGGGGATTGCTGGAAATAGATCGCAGAAAGTTCCCCATTTATGTCAACACTTGGTGTTTGAACAGCAGCTGATTGAGTGTTACTAGTTGATGGAGGGAATCCATCAGGATAGTCCGCTAAATTTGGCAAATCAAGAGCTGTAGGATCAGAATTTGACACAACTAGCTCATTGGCCGAGGAGAATTGATAGTTATTTTGTGCCAAATTCTGATCTTGAATTGGATTAGGACTCAAAGAACCATGTGGATTGTTGAGTGTGCCGGTATTATACATAGTGGCATATTCGAAGGAGTTCTTAGTTGATTCTGAACCAGACACCAATGGTTGGACATATTCTGAATCTGGATTCGGAGCTGGGTCATTCTTATTTGAACCATCTGCTTTGACATAACTAGGTTTATTCTTGGAATCCGATGCGGTATAGTCACCAAAATTGTGGTCAAGGTACCCAGGAGGTTGCTCAAAAGGAGTACCATAGCTAGTGGTGGGAACAGGTATTTTGTGCTCAAAAGTACCGTGTTCTTCTGGGATAATGTTGTTGGATTCGTGGTGAATATGGCCGCTTGCTGTGTTGCCAAATAGTTCGGGTTTGTGCGGATCTAGGGACGAGGAGGCTGAAAACAATTTACCGGCAATCGTACCAAAGCTTGGACCGGTCGGTTCGAGTGGTTTGAATGGTGGCACATCGTCTGGTTCTGCGTAGTTGCCGCGCATCTTCTTCAAGATGAGTAAACCGTCAGCTCCTGAAAATAAATAGGATGGTAAATGAAATATAAATGCTGACCTTGCAACTGTAGATGATGTTTCATGTAGGAGCAGAAACTCGAAGTTGAAATATAAATTCTTGAGGAACTAATTTCGGGTATGTATATACAGGGTGTTTCAGATTTAAATGTACATACGATACCTGTAGATAGAGGACACTTCGGTGGTTCCAAATCACCCCCCATCGATATGTCTACCGTCTTTCATAACTGAGATACAGGACGTTATCTTGATTTTGGCAAAATCTTCATCTGGTTATAACTTTTGAACCACTTTGTATAATTTATACATACTTGGTGGAAATATTCCACTTATATTACCCATCAAAATCATATGAAAATCCGGATCAGAATCCAGGTCCGTCTTGAGGAAAAACAGAAAACTTCTTTTATCTCAAAAACAACACCTTGTATGGCAAAATTTTGTAGGTCTGTTTCGATATTTGGAAAGATTGGGAAAAAATGAAATAAGTGACCTACTTTTTACGAGTGCGCATCTAATTTGACAGATGGTTTATTATCAAGTTTTGAAATATTCAGCTCCATTTCGAGGCATTTTCATTGAACTTATAATTCAAAATTCAATTTTAATACAAAAAAATAACAGTCTTCAGAGTTCAACATCATTAGAGTCAAATTAGGTGAACTATCGATAGATTTGTTGTGACAGAATCACTTGTCTATGGTATAATACATTTTTGAGGGGCTCATTTCATTCTCCACTATTAATTCACGAGCTGCGGTTGCTGTGCAAAAAAATCTGATATTCTGACAGGTCATAATCACTAGTGTGATATTATTGGTAATGTTGAGATAATTATTTCTGGTGCTTATATTGGGTTGTTACTTTTCAAAGTGTTCATAATTGTGCCTACAAAAACTTTACCAATAATATCGCAACTATAGTGATTATGAACTGTCCGAATTTTCATTTTTTCTTCACAGCCTACTTTACCGCAGCTTATGAATAAATAGTAAAGTATAAAATTAGTCCTCGAAAGTTTTTAAAATCATCGACAAACTATTTTGTCAAACAAACAAATTTATCGATAGTTCACCTAATTTGACTCTATAATGATGTTGAACTTTGAAGACTGTTATTTTTCTGTATAAAAATTTGGTTTTGAATTATGAGTTCAATAAAAATGCCTCGAAATGGAGCTGAATATTTCAAAACATGATAATGAACCATCTTTCAAATTGGATGCGCACTCGTAAAAAGTAGGTCACTTCATTCATTTTTTTCCGCTCTTTCCAAATATCAAAACCGATCAATGAAATTTTGCCATACAGAGTGTTGTTTTTGAGATAAAAGAAGTTTTCTGTTTTTCCTCAGGACGGACCTGGATTTTAATCCGGATTTTCATTTGGTTTTGATGGGTGATATAAGTGAAATATTTCTACCAAGTATGGATGGATTATACAAAGTGGTTCAGAAGTTATAACCAGATGAAGATTTTGCCAATATCGAGATAACGTCCTGTATCTCAGTTATCAAAGACGGTAGACATATCGATGGGGGGGTGATTTGGAACCACCGAAGTGTCCTCTTTCTACAGGTATCGTATGTACATTTAAGTCTGAAACACCCTGTATATACCCATCTTCAGTATCATTGGACAAGAAACATCAGGAGATGAAACAAATCACATAAGCAGCAACATGATGATGAAATGAAACGTATTTACGCTTATCGAAGGGGGTAAAAATATTATTAATTTCACCGCAATAATAGGCCAGAATACTTTTAATTCAATCATGTAATTTGTTGCTGTTTTTGTATTTTTTCATCTTTTAATGTTTCTTGTACAATGACACTGAAGATGGGTGTATGTGTGTTGTCTCTATTAGCTCTTGATCAGAAACTCTATAAATCATTGAAACTGATACAAAATTCAATCGTTATTATCGAGTACTAAAACATTTACGGAAAATGAGGTTTCGTTGGAGCTGGCTTCTGTTAAGTGAAGAATAAAACATGTGTGAAAAAACATTCACAACATGAAAAACATCAATATTTCTGAAGATTTATGAAAAATGTTCATTATACTTGGATCATGTCGACAAAACTCGCAAAGCAAACAGTAGGTTGGATATACCGGGTGGCTACGGAAGTATTGCCTACGGAATATCTCAGTTATTGTATGAAGTAGGTTTGTGAAATTTGGTGCGTCGATATAATGACATGAGAGCTAGAATTTTAGCACATTGACATGTCGAAGTTAACTTCCGGTCTGACCGGAAGTAACATCAACTTTCTTATTTTGAATGGAAACACTATTTTTTTCTTCTTATCTGTTTATTCAGCATTCAATTTCCTTCCTAATGACGTATCACAAGTTGGTATCTAACCAGAAACTAGATCAGAAAAAAATTATTATTGAAATTCACCGAGTAGGCCGTGGAAGCAAAATGGAAGCCAAAAAATGACTTTCTATAATATCATTAGAAAGGAATGGTTATGCTGAATAGTACAGGCAAGAAAAAGTTGTATGTTCCTATTTAAGTTATGGACCTACAGAGTATTGTTTTTTTCCCAATTTTTCCAATATTTTTTTTTGGCGGCTCTTTAGAACGACGACGAATAAAAATGAAATATCACAGTAGTAGCAACTGTTATCAAGTGACGTATGGTTTCCATAGCCAACTTTTCAATTGTTGGCTTTCATTTTGCTTCCACGGCCTACTCGGTGAATTTCAATAATAATTTTTCTCTGATCTAGTTTCTGGTTAGATACCAACTTGTGATATGTCATTAGAAAGGGAATCAAATGCTGAATAAAGCGAAAGGAAAAAAAAATAGGGTTTTCATTCAAAATAAGAAAGTTGATGTTACTTCCGGTCAGACCGGAAGTTAACTTCGACATGTCAATATACTCAATTTCTAGCTCTTATGTCATTATGTCGACGCTCCAAGTTTCATAAACCTACTTCATACAATAACTGAGATATTCCGTAAGCAATACTTCCGTAGCCACCCTGTCTCAAAGAATTTTGTTATGATCAAAACTTCATCTGTCATGATTCAATTGTCAAAATCCAAAAAAGTTCAGAATCAACGGTATTTTCGTTTGAATGAATGAAAAACAGAAGAAGAAGTGGACATTCCAATGATAGTTCTTCCAAGTGTTCCTATTTAACTGTAATTCAAAAATGCTCCATCGATTGTTATGTTATGGCGACTTTCTGGTAAACATAAAGCGTGAGAATAAATTATGCTCAAATTGTCTATGTCAGTTGGAGTATTAATAGTATTAGTTAATTTGAAAATATTTGTCAATTCAAGAATACCGATTGCAACTGTTCCTTTCTTAAATATCAGACTCTCTTCAGATTGTAGTCAGTTTAACGCTTGACACCTTCATACCACTTTCGAGATTCTGTAAGTAACCAGGCAGTTACTCTAAAACCGCCTTCTGAGCAGAACCTGCCATGATTTTTCAATGAACTGGTATTGTTAATAGAAATATCATAATGACATATAGATATGGTGCACTTTGTGGGATTGTGATATCAAGCATACTAAATTCTGCTTCTCTAGGCAAAATGCATGCTTGAGTTTCGTTGGTGTTGAATCCAACTAGGTTTTTGTTGGTATCCCAGGCTGTTATTTCAGCAAGATCAATATTGGCATCGTTGCCTTCGTCGTTAGTTCTCAGTCTCCTGGAAGCTATGGAGAAGATACCGCAGTATAGAGAGCACTATAATCTATGAAGTTGTGGAAAATGGAGGTGATTACTCTCAAATAGATCTCCGAGTTTTGGTATATGAAAATAAACTTCACGGCTGTTGCATTCTTTGTTTGTTTTCCATCCCATATTCGATAAAAAATATTTTCGAATGTATAGAAAGGCTCTGTATGTACTTTTTTGAATGTGTCAGTCACAAAAATGCAGTTTCATATGGCCATGAAAACAATAGTCCATGACAACGCATGTCATAAGTTTGAAATTATAAGAAAGTTAAGTTTCTGTGATATATTGGACGGTTCAGGTAATTGTGGGTTATTAGAAGAAAGAAAATACTTTCGTTGATACATCGAAATATGTATATAATCAATATAAACTGATGGTTTCGAAAGTTCATAGTAGCTACTCACACCTGCATAGAGAATACTATATAATGGGTGTTTCCGAAATTGAAGCAATGAATTAAATGGGGTGTTCTATAAAACAAAAAGAGATAATGAATCACGAGAAAAAAAATTTCACAAATTTTTTTAAAGAGGTTCGCTCCCACCATACTACTTCTTTCGACTACTATTGAACGTACGGCATCATTGCAAAAGTCATAGATACTTCCGATGCTTGTGACTCATGCCGAAAGAAAACGCTTGGGTTGGGCCATCAACCTCTGCTCATTGATTTACAAAATTTTTAGGCAAACTTCGAAGCTCATTATCTTCCAAAATATATGTTTTTCGACAAAAATATATTCCCTTTATTTCGTTCTGTTTTTTCGTCTCCCATCATCCATTTCAATGACCGTTTCAATTTCGGAAATACCCAGTATACATACTGACATTATCTGTTATCAGAATAAGAAACTGAATGGTCTACCTATACGGAGGGTCCCAAAGTGCATTTTTTTTTCCTATTTCTAAGAGTCTTAAATGATATGGGCATTGAAACCTTCTATGCAGTATCGTGAGTTACACAAAAAAGTGCCAAACGTTTGGAAAATCCGCCAATCTCTGTCTTCAAAACTAAATGAGGACATCGAGAATGGGACAACCAGTATAATCGTACACTTGATGATATGAGATGAAGAGTTCAATCAGAATATTTTTTCGATACCTTGCCTACTAGTTTTTTTTCATACAGCAGTTTTTTGTACAAAATTTCGAGATTATATTTATTGTGTTGATTTATCAAGGACAGTAAAACAAGTGCAATACAATTTTGTGTGAAAGCCGTATAAAAATAAAATGTTTCTGCAACCGACACGAAAGTCATCAATTTTGACACCAAAATTTGCAC